GTGAAAGGGAGAAACTTGCAAAAGTCTTATGTTCGTCAAGTCAACAAGGGGATTGGGTGATTGTTCGATAAACTTGTAAAAGAACGTTAGGCCATCTCCAACCAAGGGCTGGCTAGAGGGCTCGTTTTAGCCCTGTGGCCCTCCAAGATTCTCCAAAATATTAATATTTTAATGAACAGTATAGGGCCATATTTGCCTTCGTCTCCAACCGAGGGCCAGAGGGCTCGTTTTAGCCCTGCCACAAAAAATCGTCTCCAACGAGGGTCAAAGGGCCATAGGGCCAAACATAATTTATTATTTAAAAACTACAACTTAAATTCAAATCCAACGGCTAAGTAATGTCAGCATGACGTCAGCTAGCCGTTGGATTTGAATTTTTCTTTTGCTATAAATAGGGTGGATATTGAGCTATAATTCACACAACTTTGAATTCAATCTATTTCAATTCAATCTTTTTCAATTCAAGTTTGCAATGAATTCCAACTTTGGATCTTTTTCAGATTCCAACTGGGGGTCCTCATCCAATTCCAAATTGGAAGCAAAATGGGAGCAAATGAGATGAGAAGATGAGGAGTCTGATGAAGAAGTTCAAGTAAGGCGCAACAAACAAAACATAGCAGCAGCCATGGCTGCGGCCATAGTGTGTCGGCCAACCGAGGAACAACATCAATGGGGTGGCTCTATTGCTGGTCGTTCTTACAAACCACGAAACAGAGCGATGTCGCATGCCAATCTGATGAACAACTACTTTAACCCCAACTCGGTGTACACAGAAAAGGATTTCAGATGTCGCTTCCAGATGATGCGTCATGTCTTCGAGCGTTTACTTCGTGATGTCCAAGAAGTCAATCCATACTTTCGACAGAAGCGGGACAGAGCAGGTCGCCCTGGTTTCTCACCTCATCAGAAGGTTACTGTTGCACTTCGAATGATGGCCTATGGGCCTATGGCTCCCCAGCTGATTCGATGGATGAAACCCATGGTATGTCTGAGTCTACAACCCTTGATACTCTTCAATAATTCTGTGACACAATTGTTCAGGTTCACAAAAACCAGTACCTCCGCGAGCCAAATCAAGAAGATCTAAATCGGCTCATTCGCAAAGCTGAAGACCGTGGGTTTCTGGGCATGATAGAGTCATTAGACTGCATGCATTGGGATTGGAAGAACTGTCCCACCAGATGGCAAAGAGGCTTTAGCGGAAGGTCGAGAAAGCCAACTATTGTGTTAGAGGTGGTTGCCTCATATGACACATGGATTTAGCATGCTTTCTTTGGAGTCCCTGGATCCCAAAATGACATTACAGTTATTGGGCGTTCACCCCTCTTCAATAACTTGACGGAAGGTAAAACACCTCAACTTCACTACTACATCAACAACCGTCAATACAATATGGGGTATTACTTGGCAAATGACATCTACCCAAAGTGGGCGACACTTGTCCAAGCAATTCCAAACCCTAGGAATGACGCAGAAAAGTTGTTTACCTTACACCAAGAGGCATATCGGAAAGATGTTGAGAGAGCTTTCGATATTCTACAAGCACGGTGGAAGATTATTAGTGAACTTGCAAAAGGGTGGAGTCGAGAAAATTTGGACTCCGTCATGATGTCTTGCATCATATTACACAATATGATAGTGGAGGATGAGTAGATGGGTATATTGATGAAGAGTCCGATAAAGACCAAGAATATCCAAATAGGTCAAGAAGGGCTCGTGCAAAAATATATGATGGGCCTAATTTGCCTTTCAATCCAAGAACTGGTAGTATCTCTATAAATGAGTACATGAGGTGCTATAGAATGATATGTTCTTGTGCCACAAACAAGTACCTACAACATGATCTTGTTGCACATCTTTGGGCCAAAAGAAGCATGGAGTAGGCGTTTAAATTTTATATTGTTAAATGTTTTTTAAAATGTTGTTTAAGTTTCATGTTGTTAAATGTTTTTTTTTATGTTGTATAATTTGTATGTTGGTTAATGTTATTTAATGTTATTTCATATTGTTTAATGTTATTTCATGTTACTTAATTTAATTTAATGTTGTATAATGGCTTAGGAAGTTATAGAAAAAAATATAATTTAAAAAAAAAAAATATGAAACAAATTTTGTGAAATAGAAGTTATAGGATAAAAATAGAATTTAAAATAAAATAAAGCAACTATGTGAAATAGAAGTTATAGGAAAAAATGGAATTTAAAAAAAATGAAACAAATTTTGTAAAATAAAAGTTATAGGAAAAAATAGAATTTAAAAAAAATATTAAAAATAGAAGTTACAGGAAAAATTTTGTAAATAAAAAATAATAATAAAACTATAAAAAAAAAAATTCAAATGCAACGGCTAGTTGACATCTGTTGCATTTGAATTTTTTTTCTTAAGCATTCCTGTTGGTTATGATCGACAGGAAAACTGAATTTTCCAGCCAGCTGGCCCCAGGCTGGCTGCTTGCAGCCAGCCCTCCACCCTTTCAGCCCTCTCCAATTTCGTGGGGCCCTTTTAAATTCCAGAGCCCTCTGGCCTAACCCTCAGTTGGAGACGGTTTTCGGGCTATTTTCGGCCCTCTGACCCTCTTGACCCTTCGATTGGAGATGACTTTACTTGTTGGAGTTTCAACCTAAACAGATCAAGGGACATTTAAACACAAAGTGGTGTTTATCTTTGAGGATAGATCAAACAACCCACTTGATTTAACTGTCGGACGCAAGAATTTCTCCTGCACCGGAGTGTATACTCCTTTATTCTATTAGAGCGGTGGATCTCATGAAAACTAAATGCCCATTTAGTAATCTTTTTTCTTTTTTTGATTTTTAATTTCTTCTCCATAACAAATAAAAAAATGAAAACTATATAGAACAGAAGAATCAAATGTTAATTTATAACATTATAGTGCAGAATATGTGATATATAAGCCTCCAAACTCCTATCCTCATGCATGCCTCCACCATATATTGCTTGGTCGTTTCCACCGGAGGTCCACGGTTGAGCTCTGAGATTTGACGACGAACTTAAAAAACCACCTACAGATGCTTTACACTCTATCATTTAGGATAACCTTTGTATCCTTTTGTATTACCGCGAGGCATCATCATTAACCTCCACCATATTGAAAGTAGAACAATATATTTTTAAAGTACACAAAATTTAATGAATAATGTTCCAAACCATATATAACAACAAAGGAATCAGAGTTTTAATTTAAGAGTAAATTATATCTATGGTCCCTTAACTTTAACTCAATTGGTGCAATGGTCCCTTAACTAAAAATCCATTACCATTGGTCCCTCAACTCATCAAAACGTCCAGCTATGGTCCCTCAACTAAAAATCTATTACCATTTGTCCCTCAACTTTAATTCAATTGGAGAAATGGTCTTTTAACTTTAACCTAATTGTAGCAATGGTCATTCCAATATAACTCGTTTTGACAAAAATTTTGACATAGTTGACGAAAAGGACCATAATTACACATTTTGATGAGTTGAGAGAACCCTAATTATATAAATGGTTATTCCGGCATAACTTATTTTGACAAAATTTTGACGAAATTGATGAAAATGACTATAGCTACACATTTTGATAAGTTGAGGGAAGAATGGTAATAAATTTTTAGTTAAAGGATCATTGCTCTAATTTGATTAAAGTTGAGGGACTATTGCTACAATTTATTTTTAATTTAATCCTGATTGGGCGGCTCAGACTTTCTGTAACCCTTGAATCTGGGCTGATTCTTCTTCCAATTTGCAAAGGTATTGGTCGCACAATACGGGATATCCATTTTTTTAATTTGTAAATTGAATATTTAATTACTTGAAATATATTTTTCTTCTCGTTTTTTGTATTTTACTATTATTTACAGGAGGCATCTACATCTACAAAGTCAAATATGCCCTAATGGGGATGGTGATTGGTTAATGCAAATCATACCTCGTGGTTTGGCCATAAGCACGTGACTTTCTCTGCAAATTATGTTTAAGTACATTGCACTCTATCTTTAAAATAACAACAATAACAATAATAATAATACATCACCCTATGATCTTTAAATTAATTACACTCAATAACAATACCACGGTTCACACGGTACGTCTTGAGTTCGATTCATAGTGTTGGTGAATCACACAATGGAGGCTAAAAAAAGCTTAAAATGCCTCTGTAAGTTTTCCTGGTTACCATCGAGTCTCCTTTTTAACCAAAGAAAAAAAGAAAAAAGAAAAAATGAAAAATCAATTATGGGATGGATTTGTGCTAGAATGCTTGATATGATCAAATACAAACATTGTATTTTGATCTATATGCTTTCAATCTAGCACAAAACTATGTTGAAAATGAAAATTTGTGTGAAATATATTGACTTTCTATAGTATGAATACAAGTTAAATATGCTGACCTATGAATGACATACGACTTATGTCATGACGATGGAGTATCCATGTGATCGGATTAAATATGTATTTGTACAATAGCTGGAAGCTAAAATGTATAAGAAAAAAAAATCATGTATTTGATACAACAAGGTAGAGAATTGATTTTTGTACGCTTCTTTTCTCTTCCATGCACATCCACGTATCTTTTTTTTCCTTTTTTCTCCAAAAAAAAAAAAAAAAAAATCAATTAGTGATTTAGCTATGACAGTCCATCTTTTCGGAGGTCAGAAAGACATATAAAAACATTTGAAACCCATTAGATCACCATTGTGTGATTCACTAGCGCAGGAATCAAACTTATGCATATTTTTTACCTTTAAAGTGAATAAATCAAAGAATCATATGATGTAAATAAATATAAATGAGCAAAAGGAGAAATGTGCAAATCAATTTCCATAGGTATATTGGAGAAAACAAAGAATATTATGAGGTAGATATGTATGACATCAACAATACCGTATACATTACGTATCAAGGAGACACGATCCACTAATAATGGTTTAACATCTCCATTAACAAAGTCTAATAAATTACATTAAATTAAAATTAAGGTTTTTTATACAAAGAATTAAATTTTACAAAATTAAAATTAAGGCTTATGGTGCGTTATAAATAGGGTCCCCCCCCAAATGGTTGGTGCACCCCTGTCAAAGCGCATACACAAAAAAGAACCAGAGAGAAAGAGATACTCTTCCGTCAATGGCCACCAAAATCTACATTGTGTAAGCCTTTCTCTCTACTCTCTCTCTCTCTCTCTCTCTCTCTCTCTCTCTCTCTATTGCTTAGTGATTTATTAAACTTGTTTGTGTTCTTAAAAGTAGTAATGGTGTTTCTAGTTGCTTCCATTTTATGCTTTTTGGGTTTTTTTTTTTCCATTGACTTAGTGAATGTCAATGATCTTTGATGAATAAAGATGAATCTTTTCTGGGTTGATCAGTGTTTTTATTTGCTCCCATATTAGTATTTCTGGGTCTTGTTTATTTAATTAAATTAAGTAAATGTTTATCATCTTTGATGAATGAAAAATGAAATCTTTTTCTGGGTTTATCAAGTTTGCTTCTTGCGAGGTGATGGATTGTGTTGTGGGTTCGGTAATGCAAAAGATTGGCATTCTGTTGGAGATGGTGTGGAATTTGCATTGGGCATTTTTTGTTGACTTGTTATTTGGAAGAATTTTTTAGCTAAAATGGTCTCTGAGATTGATATAAACCTTCACTCTTATTGAGATTGAAAATCAATAGAAGTGGTCTGATGTTTGTTCACCGCCAATTATTTTGATCCGTCCGTGAAAAATCTTTATTAAATTGATGGTATTTTTGTCAAATCAACATTTCCACTTACTTTTTTTTTATTTATAAACGGAAGATTTTTCATAGAATCAAAATGATTGACGAAAGACAAACTCATAGACCTCTTCTACCGATTGTTAATGTCAGGGACAAAGTGAGGAATTATTCCAATCCCATAACCATTTCGGCTAAAAAGGGTTTAGAAGAACAATATATTGGAACATTTCGTTGTAAATGATTACCTCTAAACATCTGCTAAGGTTAATCTATTTAGTGTTAATTTACTAGGGAGTGCTAATTTGTTTTCTTAATCTGCCTTGGGAAAAAAAAAAAAGAAAAAAAAAGGGAAGCATTTGCTCTTGCTTACTGAAAGTCAAACTTAAAGCATCACAAATAAATTTATATAATTCATATTATTTGCTGGTTGTATTGTGGGATGGAGATCTCTATAGCTACATTTCACTTTCGGTTTTGGGTAGAAAGTATTGCAGTTTTCCTATCGTCCCATCGGTTTCAGTTTAACATCCAGTGCTCAAAAGATTAGGGGAAGTTTTATCTGCTCTCATAGAAAAGTAAGGTTGCAGCTAGTGGCCTAAAGTGTCTAGCTTGTATTCTTGTAGGTATTTTTAATGTTTTGAATTTCCAATCATTTGTGTTCTTCTTCCCGGTCTTGAGTGGGGTGAGGGAGGGTGAGACAGAGGCCTGTTTTTTCTTTGATTTTCATGATCGATTCATGAAATTGAACTTTACACTAACTACCGTGTGTATGTGTCAATATCTAGAAAAGGAGGGACTAGTAATTGGAATAGATTGAAAGTCTTAAGGTTTAAACGACATTGTGCTGTTATCCAGTAACAATTCGAATGTGGTTGTGATATCTGACCTACCTTTTGAAATCATAAACACAGAGAGAGAGAGAGAGAGAGAGAGAGAGAGAGATGCAAGGTCTCTGCTTTCCTGCTTTCCGTGGCCCCAGAATGCGCCATTGTCGAAATTGGTTCTTTCTGTTTATATTGATACGCGTGTGAGTTCCAGTCAATATTTACATTTGCTTCTGAACTGTCTTACATTTCTTCTACACTCTTGTCAAACAATCGAACAGTTAATCATATGGGTGTATTTGATGGCTCCATGAAGGTTATTTGATCATCTTTTATCACTGGCAAGTTAAATTGAAAGTTTTGTTACGTGCTTGGTCTCCCTTTGGTCATTGTCCTACCATATTCTTTTGGCTAGTTGAATGATAACATTTTCTGTTGTAGTACTACAGAAATTTCATTTTTACACCACATTCATTCCCATGTATGGTGTAATGAAAGAATGCGCCAGCAATTTCAGGCACTCTTGTTTTAGCATTCAAAGAAGATTATTACAATAAAGTACTGATATCCAAATGTTATATGCTATTACAAATTTGAGTTAATTTTTAAAATATGCTATGCATTTTACAGGTACTATTCTATGTACGGACATGTTGCCAGGTTGGCTGAAGAGATACTAAAAGGAGTTCAATCTGTCGAAGGAGTAGAAGCCAAACTATGGCAGGTACGAATTGTCGTTGAATCAACACATAAAATTATCACAGCTACAGAAAACATCTGTTGGCCAGAGTATCTGTATGCATAAAATTATGCATGTGTGTCACATGTCCTCGGGTTGGATGTGCTACATTAATTTTGTTCTTAGGCAAGTTCTCTCAGGAAATGGTTTTTTTTTTACCCTTTTGTTAAACATAAATGTTCCTTGCACATTTTGGCAACAACCATGAGGCTGCTATTGCAGATTGTAGACTTGTAGTTTATCCCAAAGCAACGTGTTCTTATAAAATTTCTAGTTTGATCTTTTGATGTTTAGTAACTAAGCTTCTAGAATACATAGATATTTTGAATCGCTAGCTTAAGCTCACATATTGGTTTCCGCAGTTTAAAAGTCGGACAATCATGCAGTTTTGGATATAGGATAAGCTGACTTGAGTTTCTAATCAAAATGTACTAATAGCATTAATTCTTTTGCTGGGATCTTGTGTTCAGAATTTGTCTTTGAAAGGGATATTGGTCTCTCTCCTGCAAAATTTCAACATAATTAACCTGGTTCAGTATACTTGGCGCCTTAACAGGTACCAGAAACACTGCCAGCAGAAGTTCTTGGAAAGATGGGTGCACCACCAAAGAGTGAAGTGCCTGTAATTTCACCTGAGGAACTTGTGGAGGCTGATGGGATAATCTTCGGTTTCCCTACCAGATTTGGAATGATGGCTGCACAGTTTAAAGCCTTTTTTGATTCAACTGGAGGCTTATGGAGAACTCAGGCACTTGCTGGCAAGCCCGCTGGAATTTTCTACAGCACTGGATCTCAAGGTGGTGGACAAGAGACTACCCCGTAAGTTTTCAGCCAACAAGAGTATTTCTTTTCATTAGGTGTACAATGACTCGGTTTTTTTGAACTGTTTCTCGTTCTTTCCCTGTTGCGTTGCACTTTACTGAATTGTTTGCAATGTGATTTTTCATGTCCTGTTTTTGATTTACTTGAAACCGTGCAGCTTGACAACCATTACTCAGCTTGTTCACCACGGAATGATCTTTGTACCTATCGGATACACGAGTGGAGCTGGCATGTTCGAGATGGAGCAGGTCAAGGGTGGCAGCCCCTATGGTGCGGGAACTTTTGCTGGGGATGGCACAAGACAACCTTCTGATCTAGAACTAGAAACAGCTAGCCACCAGGGAAAGTACTTCGCTGGCATTGCAAAGAAGCTTAAGGGATCTGCCTAATTATGATGATCAATTATACAATCACTGTTGAGTGTTGCATACTTTCATTTCTTCTGTTCTTGATTCTCAGTCCGGTTTTCAATTTGCAATTTCGTGTTTTCGTGAAGAATAATTTGCTTTGTCAAATGTATTTGTTGTAACAAGTTTTATTATTGAATAAACAGTTTTTATTACTGAAGATTAACGCTTGTATACAGTATACAATGTAAACTTTACAGGAGATCTCGGTCTCTTACCAGTTGCTACACCTTTCATTGTAACTTGGATATAGCATTGGCTGTGAGAAGTTTCACATTCAGATATCAAATGAGGCCAGTCCTCCCATGTAAAAAAGAAGTTATCCCGCGAATGCTAAGGCCATGCAACATAGCTTTGAATCTGGTGAGCTAGCCAATCCAATCCAATACATCAAACATGGCCTAAGCCTCAGTATTCCACACTGTACAACATAGCTTTGAATATGGTGAGCAATCCAATCCAATCCAATACATCAAACATGGCCTAAGCCTCAGTATTCCACACTGTAACTTTAAAAATTGTAAGCTATCCTATTCTATTCAATCATATGCACCAAACGTGGCCCAAGAGCCCCAATTATCAAAGGCACAAGTGGCTGCCCATAGCTTCATCATCATGCACCTTAACGTTGCTGAATATCTATATGATGAGTGTGGTCCAAGTGATCTTATCACATTCACTTCAGGAGTCTATGTAGTCCATTGGACAAACGCCTTCTGCATATCATGAACTCCATGACCATATGCAGAAGGAGTTTGTCCCATGTTTAAAGGATTTTTTTTTTTTTTTTTTGGTTACATGGGAGGAATCAAATATTGAAGCTATCCTTATCCTAACCCATCGATCCACCTTCTCATCACTTGGCTAACCTCAAAGGCTACTTTCCCAGGAATTTTCATTCTCTCTCTTGGGATGGTCATCTAAAAGTTATGGGGGTAGCTTGAAGAAACTAAAATAGTAAATTAGGCACCCAAAATGAAATAGTGAGCCCATATCCAAGAACTAATGAGGTATCACTTGGGCTCAAAACTAAGGATGTCATGCTAGTAAGTGGGAAAAGATGTAGTTCCACTTATTTTTCTTTAACAACGTGATTCTCTAAATTTTAACTTTCAAGATGAAAGATTCATACCGTGTGCCAAAAATAGAACACGCTACTATAGCAAACTAGTCTAACTTAAGTTTGCGTGTTTCAAACTCATTTAAGAACTCAATTAGAAGCTTTATGTAATGGTAACAGGGGTGGAAGATAAGATTCAAAGTTTTTAAAAGAAATAAGCCTTTTGAAGCTGGAAAACGTCAAGAAGAAGACAGAGATAGAGTCTTCATTGATTAGCCAAAACAAGAAAAAGAGGTATTGATCCATTAAAGTAAAGATTTGTAATTGCTGGAAGTCATAGATTTGCTTTATTTACAACTACAGCATAACACAATGATGCCAAGATGCTTTCCCTTTAAGTATTCGTTTTATGTTTCATCTTTTCAAATGAGTAAACGTAGTAGTACTAAGTACCATGCCAAAGCTTGGAGAAAATAATTACAGATTTCAATATTCCATCGAGTAGTCGAGAGAGAGAGAGAGAGAGGCTAGCTATAGCAAATGGTACTGATCCCAATGCTTCAAAGTGCTTGGTATCACACCCTTCCGCCGATCAATTTCACAAGTCACAAAAAGATGATAAAGTGGGCGCCAAGAGATACCAAACCCCAACAGATTTTGAACCATTAAAGTACCTTTCGTTTGCTTTCTCTCATGATTAGTCATCTTTTATAGGGATTCTTCAATTTTAAGCTTCCTCTTGATTAGGCTCTTTGGTTTTCAAAATTTGGAATTTGTTCAAAGCGACTTTAATTTCAACAAACAATGACTAGTAATATATAACATATACACACCCAAAATATACTCTGGGATTTTCAAAGTAATAAGTATATATACGATGAGGAATGTTAAGGGACTCTTCATAGATTTTCTGTCACCTCATAGTTTAATGTCAATTTTCGTGCCAACATTATAAAATATTATGCCAAAAACATAAGATAACAAAAAATTTATGAAGTGTTCTACTTTGAGAAAGTCTTTTAACATTTCTCTCTCTATACATGGAGTTATGAATATAATTTATGCTTACTAGACAGCACAAGTATGCAAGTTCTACTGGCTATACTTTCGTCAGGAGTTTTGTACATATTAGGTTCTGTTTGGATATGATCACTTCTCTCATTTAGATTGCAAATGATGAGCCATAATTCTGAAAGTAACAATACATATGCAGTGTTCCATCTGCACTGTTCGTGTTGGGAAAAGTGAGGAAAACTTTCACCCCATGCAGTGATGCTTTGATAGAAATTCCAATATATAAATGAACGAGGATCCTCTTTGGATCTTCCAATCACATCCGTTTATAGTACATCGTGCGGTCAGAAATTATTTTAAATTTTTTATTTAAAATTGAATATAAACAGTATATGACGAAAGCTGATCACACAATATACGATAAACGGATGTGATTGGAGGATCTCCAGGATCCTCATAAAGAGGATTGTCATTCTATATAAATAAAGATAATGTTAGGGAGATTAAATTTATAAAAAAAAAAATTGTGAAACTAAAAGATGTAGAAATTGATGATTGACATACTTAAATGTTGATAAACGTGCTCATTCATATTGGAAACTCATAATTTTGTTTACAAATTTTGTTTTCAAATTTAATCTCCCTAGCATTAGCCTATAAACAAACACAAAAAGGCAAAATGAGTAATTAAATTAGGAAAAGGATCCGTGCGATCGTGACCGTTCATCGTACATCATGCGATCAGTTTTCATTAGGTACTATTTATATTTAATTTTTAAAATTTGAAATAATTTATGAGCGCACGACGTACAATGAACGGTTACAATCATAGGATCTCTAAAATCCCTAGGAAAATGATCCGACCATTAAATTAAATTGAGCTGGTTGTAGACTTCTAGCTAGTTGCCACCAAGGATAATATTATGTAGATCATGGAATTGTAGAAGTTAAAAGATAATCAACACTATAGGTGATAAACCAACAGGATTCCTCTCCGGATCCTCTTTGTGAGGATCCTGAGAATTCTTGAATTGTATTCGTTTATCGTACATCGTGCAATCAATTTTTGTTAATTAGGTATTGTTTGTGTTCAATATTAAATAAAAAATTTTAAATAATTTTTTATCACACGATGTACGATGAACATATACGATTCAAGGATTCTTGAGATCCACACAAAGAGAATCCGAATTCTGTGTTATTTTACCAGACATACGTTTATATTGCCAATCAAATAATTGATGACTCAAATTACGATAACGTAATTTACTTCTTCACAAACATAAATATATATAATATAGGGAAATTGACTGAAATAATTATTCTATAAATTTTAATTTCTAAACTCATCAAAATCAAATATTGACGACTTATAGATCATATAATACATATGAATTAAGAGTACTGATAGGTAGAATAATTTTTAAACCCCATTTGCAAATTAACCATGTGATGTGTCACCAATATGAATTAAGCACGTTAATCAACACTTAAATAATAACACAATCATTAGCAACCATGTCATATGCTTTACATAAAATGATTTAAATAGATATTCTCCCTAGCACTACCTATGAATTAAACATAAACATCATATCTGAAGAAAAATTAAGCTTCCACCATAAACCAATTTACAATATGGGGAGTAGCCAACTTATTCATAAGCTCATGCAAGGTCCATCCTCTCATCATTGTGAGACTCATTTTCAACATGCCCTCTCACATGTGGCAAATTTTCAAGCCTAACATGTGGACAACACGAACTGTGTGATATTGGGCACGTGTGGCCGTTGGCTTCAGACATGTGACAACTTGCTCTGATACTAAAAAAAAAGTTGAGATTCCACTATAAAACCAATTAGCAACATGGGGAATAGCCTAACTTAATTATAAGCTCACATAAGGTTCATTATTCATTTAATGTGGGATTCATTCTTAACATTATCTATTGTTAAAAACATATCGGTCAAATATGAATTTTTTTTTTTTTATATTTCAATTATTAGAATTTATAAATTGATTATTTCAGCTAATTTTTCTATAATACATCTTCTTCTTTACAAAAATAAAAAAGCTATTATTAAGCAGAAGGGGAAGGTTTAAGACTATTAGATTAATATAGGGAGAATGGAATTTCGAACTTGGGACACATAGGGAGAAATCCAACATTGTTACATGTTTAATGGACGAACCTTATAATTGCGTGGCCATTTCCATAGGAGGAAATTAAAGGATAAAACATATAATAATGCTAGGTTTAAGACTATTACATTTCCATAGGGAGGAGAATTTCTAACCTAGGACGTATGAAACTTCCTATCCATCTATCCATAAGGATTCTTCAGTTCTTGTTATATGTTTAATGGACGAACCTTATACTTGCGTGGCCATTTCCATAGGAAGAAAATGAAGGATAAAACATATAGTAATGCTAGGGTATAAGACTATTACATTAATATAGGAAAAAGAAAATTTCGAACCTGGAACGACGCATAGGTAGAAATTCAATACCCTATCCATCTATCCATAAGGATTCTTCAGTTCGTGATATATGTTTAATGGGCGAATCTTATAATTTGCGTGGCCATTTCCATAGGAAGAAATATTGAAGGATAAAACATATAGCAAGGCAAGGGTTGTTGGTTTTACACGCGCAAAGACATGTACTCGCGCATGCACATCTTTCTGTCACTCTCGCCCTCTCTTTCTCATGAGTCATGACCAGATTCACCACAAACCCTAAAAGCAGGAACAGTGGGCCGACCTCTGACTTCCCACTACCACATTCCAAACATATAATAAACGAATTCAAAAAGTGAAAACGCCAATCAAATAATCTCCACTCGCTCATCTTTCTCTTCTGTTCTTACAACAATCAACAATATATACAATATATAAATCAATTAACTACAATAAAGATCGCTTTAATTTTTATTTTTCTCTTCTCTGAAGGTGTTGGTGCCAACCCTCAACGTACATGAACAGGAACAAAAGGCAGCTCTTCACACCCCATCTGCTAAATTCAGCTCTTGTCAACAACTTAATATCTCTAAACCCTAATATATTGTCAACTTCCGCTAAATTTA